AACAATAATAGTAACACCACCAGCAGCACCAGCATTGGCATTGACAAAACCTGCATCAATCAACCGCAAAAGGAAAGTTTATTTGGAACAGCTTCCATCCTGCAACAATACCTTTAGCACCATCAGACAACAACATCTGCCTATCCCAGGTTCTTGGGAAGGACTTGATAGGTGGATAAAAACACACAGTCTAAACATCTGGCTGACTGTGTGACCAACAACAACAACAATTATTATTATTAATGCTGTGGAGTCCTACTGGTTAATCTGATGTATCCTTTTTTTTTTTTTTTTTTAATGCCAGGGATGGGACACAACTGTTATGGATCCTGGTTGAGGGTGGCATAACTTTTTGTCCTTTCATGAGATTCTGAAGTAGCTACCATCTTCTTTTCCAGTGCAAATATATCTGCCTCCATCCTCAACTTTGCAGTTCTATGTTTTGGCAAAGTCCACGGGGATCTAGGAGAGGAGAAGGCCAGATGTACTGAGTGGAGAGACTCTGTAGCAGTCTTCCACTACTTATAGCCAGCTGTTGATCCTGCTGGTAGAAAAATATATTTAAAAGGAAAGTAATGAGTTTCTATTCAAAGTATTCATAGATAGGTTTTGTTTTTTCCTAAACTTTAATCACTACCATCTCCCAGATGAAAGAAAAGCTAGCCTTCTGCCTTAAAAAAAAAAAAGACATTAAAACTGAGTGTTAGGTTGAGCTCTAAAAGCACACTAAATTCATTCAGCACTCTGTTATTTTTAGTTACATAAAGGAACTAATTAGAATTTAGACGCAATAAGCACAGCCAAACATGTGGAAAGCCTGATTACCAGAGATACTGTACTGCTTTTGCCAAAAATAAAATCATGTAAGAATACAAGAATTGTTCTCTTTGGAGGTCAACACAAGCCGATTTTTAATTATGTTCATTAATCTGTATTTTTATATAATTAACTTTTTAGCCTACTCCCATTCTAAGGAAAGATGTGTGTGTGGGGGGGGGGGGGTTGTGGGGGAGGTGAAATGATACCACAGCCCTAAGATAACAAACATTTATCTGAATTTCTTTTCCCTGTTTAAAGGGTACTGTTTGCTTTCCAATGCCCTCATTTCATTTCCAGCTGTCTTTTGGCATTTACATGGTAGTCGAACGCATGACAAATGTGTACTTGCATGCAAAGCAAAACATAACATTGATTTTTCAGGACTGGAGCTGTTTACTGGAGATTCATTAGTATTGATCAAGTTTTATAAATTAGGGTTGAATGGTTCGTTCCAATACTCAGGGAACTACCTCAGGATTATTCTGGAAATATAAGGTGTTATAGTACATGTCTACCAAGAGTGAGTAGCATGTGGTTGATGGGATGAATGTAGCATTGTCCCCAGCCTTGGGGTTTTTTTTTTTTTTGGTAGCTTCAAAGGGCACAAAATCTCCCTTTCATAATCTTGCTTTCTAATACATTTTACTTTAAAAACAAAAAAACAAAACCACACCACACCATCTGGAGCTGTATGGTAAGGAAAAGGCAGTTTTTTAAAAAGTTGATTTCCAGATTGCTTTTATGGACTCACAAAGCTCTTTTAATCATTGTACTCAGTATTAGAACATATGGGATATATGTTCTTCATTGTGAAGGCCTTTTCTCATAGTCTGCTAAGCAGAAAAACCCCATGCTGTTCTTTTCAGTATATCTATATATCATTAGTCCCCTCCATGCACTGCAGAAATTCTTCATGTAAGATTGGAGAGCAAAACCACACACTGGATATATGCAATAGAGATGGAGATCTACAACGGGAAAATCAATATATGTGAAATTGTACCAACTAAGGGTCTATGAAAGCCTGTGTGGGTAGTGTATGGATACTTTCTGGCTACTAATAGTTGTTAGACTTTATATATAACTGACTACAGAATTCTCTTAGATGTTTACAATAAAAAGATAAAATATTAATACTAAGTTAAAATGAAGGATATTAAACATATTTCCTTCTGCATCTAAAACATGTTTGTTCTTTCCTATACAATCACTCTTTCTTTACATCTAAAACTGATTTGCTGTTTCACCCACAATAATCTTTTCATTTAAAAGAAATGCTTTTGGGAGGAGATTTTTATTAGGGCCTTAGCCCAGGATAGAAAGGGTTAAACCCTTCCCCACCTCACCCTGTTTCTGAGTTGCTGGACCATCCCTTTGACTACCACTTGCATAATTAAGACCAGTGCATATTAAATTGCTTTCACAACATTTGCTCACCCTTACTTGGAAAATGTAGTTATAGTGTTTTTGCTTCTCACGGTCAAAGAATTCCTTCTGTAAACTTTATACTAGATAGGGAATTCAAAGGCTAACTGTGGTTTGGAGATAAATTTTTCAAAGTATGGAATTCATTTTTATACTTGTAACAGTACCACTGTGGTCCAAATGGGAGGTGAAAGTTGACATTCCCAAAGCATAACCTCCTTTTATAAAAACAAAACAGAGGTTAAAAAAAACCCAAATAGTTCAGTAGGAAATCAGAAGCATTAGATGCATTTTGTCATGCTTTGTTTTATAAAGATTCAAATAAGGTAACAGAAGAAAAGATATGAAAGGTGTGGACTATTCAGACTTATAAGACACCATGCTGATTTGTTCAAGTCATGCAAGCTTCTTTGATATTTCTCAAGGAATGCACAAATAGGCTGGTGTGGGTCTTCCGGGCTGTGTGGCCATGTTCTGGAAGTTTTGTTTCCTAACGTTTCG